TCTCTGGCTTCTGAATGAAAATCAAAGCAATCATGCACAGTGGAGTTTTCTCTTTTTATCTGTGAAATCATGTGATCTCCCGCATGGACTCTGCTGTGAGATCACCAAGCGTGTGAAACAGTAAGAATTGCTGTATGGGTTGAGATGCAGCCCTAAATCTCAGTGATAACCCTTTGGATCTCTCCTTGAAGCATCCCAATTAAGACTTACAAAACTTACTGTCACTGAAAACTTAATGGCAAAGTATCCGAAAAATAAGTTGGTATTTTCACTCCTGACTCTAGAATTATATTTGGGAGGTAGAGTATCGGTTGAGGAAAAAAGAGGAGCCTTTAACTAGATACTTGAGATAGAGAAGAACTCAGGGAACTAGGTAGACAAGATCTTGGGCTAGGTTAAGAAAATATGTATTACCTGGGAAGAATTTACCACAAAATTGGCTTAATGGCAAAATTAGCATTCTCCATCTGTTGAAAAAAAAATGAGACCACTTTGAAAAACATTGTGTTTTTAGAGAAAACACACTTTCAAGACTAAGTTATTCTTGAATATTTTACCACAGAGCCTTAAAGCTGGGTAGCTGAGAACAGGGGTTAAAAAGGAAACTTTTCATCATTTATTTTTATGTATTTTCTGAATTTTGAGCCATATAAATAATTTATATTTATATAATTTATATGTATATATGTGTGTATATATACATATATGTATATGTATAATTTATATTTATATAATTTAAATAAATAATTTACATGGCTCAAAATTCAGAAAATAAAAATATAAATATAATTTTATAAAGAAAAAACTCATTGATATTAGGAAATAAAATTTAAATGCCCTAGATAAAAGAGGATAGCAAAGGGGAAGCACACTTGCTTTGATTAGGGGCCGAGAGGAAGTTAGTCACCTAGATTGTTAATATACCACCATCCCTAGCTCCCAAACTGTTTGTTAATTCTAACTGACGGTTGTTTTATTTTTGTTTAAATTTGGGGGTGGGCAAGTAGTAATCTACCTTCCAAAAGAAAAAAATAAGAGGGTCTTTTCCAGCAAGATCTTTATTCTCCACCACTGAAATCCCATTAACACTAATCAGCACAATGATTAACCACATTGTGGTTAAGTACTCTACTTGATAATGATTCTTTTGGAAAAAAGGTTCCCATAGCGACAGGTAAAAGCTATCATCAAACTCAGCTTTTCAGCACAGGACTTGATGTCACAGGTCAGAGAGTTAAGATTATTTTAGTATTAATCTGGAGGCTTTCTTTAACTTCACTTGACTTTATCCATTCAAATGACACTGATGGAGAGTCCTTCTGTAAACCAGACAAAGTAGGAAACACTGGGGGCAGGAGAGCTAGGAGAAAGAAGACCTCAAAGATAAGATATTGTTCCTGCCCCAAGAATTGCAGGCTTCCGAGGAAAGCAGCCACTACAGGAAATAATGACATTATGGTGGTAATTCAATCCTTAAATCTAGAGCCATGCCTTGTCCTTATCACTGGAACTGGTCAGTTTCTAATCTAGTTTCACTTTCCCATCTTCAAGCTGCAGCACAGCTGGGTTTCCAGCTGGCTGGGGAAGAAAAGATTCTTTAAATAAACAGCATTTTAAAAATATGCAGTCGCTTTTCCTATACTGAGTTTTATGAGCCACCTTTCTCTAATATGTGAATCTGGGTGCCACATTAATTTAAAACTATCCTAAAGAATGTAAAATCCCCCCAGGAATACACCTTTCCTTGTTTAACTACAGAGTACACTGTACACTGGAAAACTGCTAATCAGGAAGTCCCAAAGAAAGAAATTATCTTTATTTTTTGTGCTATTTACTGCATCTATTCAATAAGGAAACTGCTTAAAAACATGAATACAAGAAAACAACAAGATAGGGTGTAATTATACCAAAATATATGCAACCATCTTTTAAAATGCAGGACTATTTGCAGAACAGGATGCTTTTATAACATTGTACAGAGTTGCTAATCCCTGCAAGGCCTTTCTAACTCTTTTTCCTCGCCTTTCCACAGAAGGCACAGAAAACACCTCCCTCCATACATGCAATCTTCTAAGAAACGCAAAGATTTTACTCAACTCTGTCACCAGATGTACTCTCTCTGGATAAATGATACACATTAAATAAGTAAAAATACCACGCTAGCAGGTCTTGCTATTCCAACAAGACCCCTGTCTACCATTCCTCACCTTAGATCATAGACTTCAAATCAACATTTCACAGTGGAAATTAGCCCTTTATGATGACTGTTTAAAAGAGGTCCAGTGTGACCCCCACATTGATGCTCCTGAGGCCAATTTTTAAACACAATATTATCCCTCCATATGATGCCTCCCCTTAACAAACCCCACAAGCTTTCTAGATGACCTCCCAGGGAACCACACCTCTCAGAACCTACACACACTCAGAGCTGAAACTAGCTAAACAAAGCAACAATGCAACCTCAGTTGCTCAATGTAACGGCCACGACGACAGTTTCCAAGTGCCAGTTTCCCTATTTTGCAATGGGCAAATCTGCTCCAAGGAGAAAATGTTCCCAATGACCCTGTGGCCCAGAGGGCTTTCTTTAGAATAGAAAACAGAAAATGAATTTGTTAGTTATTTCCTGCTGAGCACAAGGACAGTGTTGTGGTTAGTTCGGATGATTTTGTTTCCTTATTTAATATACCATTACCTGTATGTGTTTTCTTTAACCACATCATAGAAAATAAGAAAATACAGTTTATGCTCTTCTGTCACATTACCATCAATCCCACACGTTTCACAAGTATGTCCTTTAATTTCTAATCCACTTATATAAGGCTCCCCAAAATGGTACCTGTTTATGTACTTTGCTTTGAACATCAATTCAAAGCAATTTTTTTGCATTCTGAAATGTTTGCTGCCCTACTCATTTCTGATTCTTGATAATTTGTGATATGTGAGGGCCCTTCCGTTACTAATGATTGCAGTTCTAAATGTATCTTTTTAAGAACTCTACTACACATGCTATTTTGATAATGAGATGACTATAACCTAGAAACAAACCTTTTCTTACCCTCAAATCTTTCATGATTTCTGCATTCAACTGTGAAGCTATTAGTCACTAGGACAAACAATGTGTTAATTGATAAGGTGTATTGTGTTGGGGGAAGGAGAGAGTAGGAGGAGGGAGACAAGGGAGCAGAGAAGCCAGTTACTCTGGGGTTACCTGACAAAGACCATCAAGTCCTTAGCGGCCCAGACTAGGGATTATGTGGAGATGAACACTGTGCATATGCAGGAGCAACTCATCAACAACCAAACAGAAGCTGTCCTTGGACAAGGTTCAATAAATATTTTTACTATCTATTTTCCACTGTACAATACTGTTTCACAGCTCCCCGGGGGATCTCAGATAAAATACTTAAAAGAATAAAAAATTAGAAATTCTTAGCTGGTCTCTACTTGTCATCATAAAACATTTCAGAACATAAAACCAGTATTAAAAAGCAGTCAACGATATTCCTAAGGATAATGTCAGAGTGATGAACTGCTGTTATCCCCCAAAGTTTTCCCCTCCTTATTAAGACATTGCCAAGATTCTTCTTATTACAGTGACCACAATTTAACATAGTTAGTGTCTAGATATACTCCCACAACTAAGCTCCTAAAATTTGCCTCCTGAAGGGGTTGGGGGAGGAAAGCTTCCAAAAGTCATAGGTATTAATCTAGAAAGATGAGGGCAGCAAAACTTATTATAAGCTGTTACACATATTTTGCTACTCAGACAAAAAGCCTGCCTACACTACCCAGAATCAGTTGGTAAACTGGTAAACATACCAACTTCTATGAGAGTACAGGACGTCTATCATAATTCAACAATTACACAGTCCAGCAAGTCATACTGCATGCCAACAAATTCGGCTTTAGTTGGGACAAAACGAAACCCCAATGTGAGTAAGCACAAGACAGGCTTACACCAAATACTCCAGTGTGGGACAAGTCAGTTTGAAATATCTTACTAAGAAGTAAGTACTGGATTCAGGGACAAGAAGAAAAAGCTCTTAGACTGACATTTCTTTGACTTCTAACTTGGGAGACTTCCGTTTCCAGCTGCACAGATAGACAGATTTCAGTGTTTTGTTTCTAATCACCTGCATTCCTGTGCAGCATCTAACATCATGAAGATGAGAGATGCAGTCAAATACATCCGGCGAGTAAGACGTTAGAGCTGAACTTAAAAGCATTCAGCAGAAGTACGTTATCCTCTTTCATCATCATCACAATCAGCAGACCTTGTAATAGCCCCCAGAAACAGCCAAAAAAAAGGTGTGGGGGGGGTCTGCTTGCTAGTCTTAAGAAAAGGCTGTGCTACCTGCTTAGCAAAGACACGCAATCACGATGGAGAAAAAAAAACGGAGCCACATGGAGGACGGAAAACAGTAGCAGAAAAAGTCCAACTCTGCCTGCGCCAGCGGTGTGGATGAGCAGAGCAACCAGCCCAGGAGAGGAAGGAGGGGGCGGGGGCGATCATTCCCTAGGAGAACTTGTAAGCGGAGGCCTTCACAGCCTGGGAGTCTGCCCAGCTGCTCCTGCAGACCCTGCCAGCCTGGGCACGGCAGGCCCGCGGGAGCAGAGTGGGCAAGGCCTCCAAGGGTCACTCCTGACTCACTGAGCCTCAGGCCAGCACTGCCAGGACCTCTCCGTCTTTCCTTCCGCTACTGGGCTATGATGGCAGCTTTCCAGCCCCACATGCCATACATCAGCCGCAGATCCCCGCTGGCACAAGCCAGCGCCTCCCTCCGCCCCCCGCCCCTGGCACACTTTGAGCCTGATCCTCCTTCTCCCCAACCCCAACCCCCTCACCCACCCGTGCCAGGCGCCCTGCCCAGGGGCGGCCCCACCCCCCAGAGCCCGGACGCTGCCAGGCCCGGGCACCTGCAGCACCTCCCCGCCCCACCCCCATTCTCCACCACCTCGCCCCTCCCCCCTTTCTCCAGCAGAGGGAGGGGGCGACTCACCGCAGTCAGTGCACAGGATCTTGCCCACCTCTTTCTTGAGATTTTTGCCGTTGGTGTCGAGAGGGGCAAAGGCCGTCTTAAAGACTAAGGGCTGTTCCGTGGGCTCCAGGAAAAAGATGTAGCGCTGGTTCCTTTCGAGCGGCGCACAAGAGCCCACGCTGATCACCTGCTCGCGCTGCAGCCCCCCGCTCCGGAGCGGCCACTTGTCCAGCACCTTCACCAGCGCCACCCGACCCGAGGCGGGCGGCTCTCGGGTGCTGTTGGAGCTGGAGCCGCCGGCTGGGGCTAGCCCCTGTACCTTGCCCTCTACCACCACGGGTGCCTTGTACGCCTGGTCCTGCACCGACTTGAGGCTGGGCGAGTAGCAGGCGAGCGACACACCGAAGAGCAGCATGGAGAAGCCGGGGGCCGGGTCGCGCCTCATGCCGCCGGCGGCTGCGGCTCGCGAACGGGCGGCGGCTCTCCGGGCTGCGGGTCTGCGGGGCTGCGGCTGTTGCTGCGGCCGCGGCTCTGGGGGCGCAGCGGGACGGGAGATGCTGCTGTTGTTGCTGCTGCTCCTGCTGCTGCTGCCGCTCTCGCTGCTGCTGCTGCTCCTCTCGCTGCTGCTGCTGCTGTCGCTGTAGCTGCTGCACCGAGCCTTCTCCAGTGGCGGCGGCGGCAGCGCTGAGCAGCAAACCTGCCGCATCTGGCCAGGCCATTTGGGGGGCTCCGCCGCTCAGCCGCCGCCGCCTTGGGAGGGGAAACAGAGCCCGCAGGAAAACCGGAAACAGCGTAACGTTAGCGCCTCTTAGCCCTCCACCCGCAGCCCGGGGAGGTGGCCCAGCTAGGGCAGGGGGCAGGCGGCAAGCGGGCCGCGACGCGCAGCGCGGCGCAGCGCAGCGCTCCCACCCTGTGCGCCAGGACCTGGAGGAGGATGCGGAGGATGGGACGCCCGCCCACTTGCTCTCTCGCGCCCCCTCTGCCCCCGGACTGAGTGGGGAGCGCGGCTTCTGCAGGGGAAGCTTGGGACTGCACTGCTTTAGTGCCCGCCTTCAGCCCGCAGGGGCGCGGGAGGAATCGTGCCACCCTTTGCTCTCGGGATTTATCGGCATGACAGTGGGGGTGGTGCGTGAGGAGAAGGCGGAGAAGAGATAACGGGCTCCTGGCACCATCCTATGAACGTGTGAATGGGACTCAGGGCGTGCCCCCTGCCTTTGGCCATCAGCTGTAGGAGCCAGAGAGGTTGCCATGGCCAGGGTGGCCAGCCAGCCTCTCGCCTCCTGGGCTGTCCTCTTTCCTAGGAGGACCCTGGAGCCCAGCCCCTAAACGATACCACGTGCTCGGTCCTGCCACCGCCTGGTGAGCGCTGGATATTCGACTTGTGGGGGAGGATCCCAGCCCCGTCATTTTGGAAAGAGTTGGGCTACAAGGTGTCTTGTCTCAGCATTGAGGACACCGAAGCAGAGGTGATGGTTGAGAAAGGGTCGAGTCCCCAACACTCTGGGCTTTCTTCAGCAGCCACGTGGGGATCTGGCTGAGCACTGTACAACCTTATCTTTTAAAAATCTGCTAAGAGAGGTTGGGGAGCTTCTTGGGAGCCAATAGAGAGCCAGAACCTGTCAGGGACAGAGGCTGCTTCGTAAAAAAAGGTTTTCTTTTTTCAGGGTTGTTGCTTGCAAGAGGCGGAAGAGTTTGCTGCACTGGAGCCAGCATCTGATTTCACACACACACACACACACACACACACACACGTACGTCCATAATCCATTTGCATATCAATGAGGGTCCAGGGAGTTTTCAACATCCAGCTTTTAACCTTGAAGGATGTGGAGCTCAGAAATGCCAGTGAGATCTTGGCGAATTTTATACCTGATTGGGCCCCACAGGAAACTGGTCCAAGGATGACTGACTTAGGCTAGGACTGCTATTCTGGAAAGGAAGGAGAGAGCTGTACCTTTCCTCCTGGCTGTCTAAGAGACATCTTAAACTCAACATATGCAAAGCCAACATCATTATTTCTTCCACTTCACTCCAAATTCCCTATAATTATTAATGCCGCTATTTTATTCTTTTATACTACATCAATCCATTACAATAAGTCCCTTCATCTCATCTTTTATTCTTCCTCATCCAATTAATCACCTAGGCCTTTGACTCTACCTTTTAAAATAATCTCCAATTTATCTACTTCCTCTCCAACTCGCTGCAAATACCTTCAGTCCAAGTCCCCATCATCTCTCACCTGAACAACTTCGAAGCCTCCTAACTGGTCTCCACTCCTTTCATCTCATCACCTACCTCCAGTCCTAACAATGCCTGAGTAATCTTTCTAAAAATAAAATATAATTTGGCCATACTACTGCTTTCAGAAGTAAAGTCCAAACTCCTCAGCAAGGCTCTTCATGGGCTCTCTTTGCCTAGCCAGCTTCATATCCTAAGAGCCAACCCCCTACCCTAGCAATCCTTAGCACTTCATGCTGTTTCTCAGTGTGCTTCTGTGCACGATGTCGCTTGTATCCAGAAACCCTCACCCCCACCTTGTCCACTTGCAAAACTATTATTTTCCCATAGCCCAGCTCAGCATTATACCTTGATCCATTCTGCTTTCCTAAATAGTCACCTCTACTCCCACCAACGTACACATACATGATGGAATATGAAATTAATCCCTTCCTCCTCTGTGTTGCCATGAGCCTCACACGTAGAGTTACTGTTGGGATACTGGCCCATACTGTATTTCAAGCAGCCATTTAACGGGTCTGCATCTCCCAGCAGATGCTGAGATGGTCTCTGAGGAGACAGCATTTAAACTGAGACTAGAAGGACGAGGAGGATGTGGATTATGTGAGATAATGTGTAAAGTGCTTAGAACAATGTCTGGTGCACAGTAAGGGCCAAAATTAAGTTGAATATTATTAATATTTTACTTATACTGGTGGTTCCCAATCTAAGAGCTGAGAATTTCTAAGTGGCGTTTATCTTCTGTATATTAAAAATATTCACTATGATTTTCTGTATATTAAAAAATGCAGCTAGACAAGGTGGCTCATGCCTGTAATCCCAGCATTTTGGGAGGCTGAAGGGGGTGGATCACTTGAGGTCAGGAGTTCAAGACTACCCTGCCAACATGCTGAAACATCATCTTTACTACAAAAAAAAAAGAAGAAAAAAAAAAAAACAGCCACGCATGGTGGCATGCACCTACAATCACTTGGAAGGCTGAGGCAGGAGAATTGTTAGAACCCAGGAGGCAGAGGTTGTAGTGAGCCCCGTGACACTGCACTGCACTCCAACCTGGGCAACGGAGCACTAGGTCAAAAAAAAAAAAAAAAAAAAAAAAGCAATACAATTTTTCAATAGTACAGGTCATGAAGAATAAAATATTATTTTCCTGTCTCTTATGTATTTTCTTTTTTTTTGAGAAGGAGTCAATTCCACTTTTCCAGGAATGCAGTGATGTGACCTCAGCTTATTGTGACCTCTGCCTCCCAGGTTCAAGCGATTCTCCTGCCTTAACCTCCCGAGTATCTGGAACTACAGGCATCTGCCACCAGTCTGGCTAATTTTCATATTTTTTGTGGAGACAGGGTTTTGTCATGTTGGACAGAGTGGTCTCAAACTCTTGACTTCAGGTGATATGCCTGCCTCGGCCTCCCACAATGCTGGGATTACAGGCGTGAGCCACCAAGCCTGGCCTCTCCTTTTCTTTTGAGACAGGGTCTGGCTCTTTTGCCCAGGCTGGAGTGCAGTGCAGCCATGACGGCCCCACTGCACCCTCAACCTCCTGCGTTCAAGCGATCCTCTTGAGTAGCTGGGACTATGGGCACATGCCACCACATGCAGCTAGTTTTGTTTTGTTTTGTTTTTTGGTAGAGATAGGGTCTCACTATGTTGCCCAGACTGGTCTCAAACTCCTGGGATCAAGTGATTCTCTTGCCTTGGCCTCCCAAAGTGCTGGGATTTCAGGTGTGACCCACCACACCTGCCCCCTGCCTTTAAAAAACAAAACAAAACAAAACAAAACATATCCACGTTAAAGTATAAGAAAGTATAACAAGATATTAAGTGGAAAAAAAATCAAGGTGAAGAAGAGTGGTAAGATGCTACCACTTTGTCTTTTTTAAAGGGAAAATATGTAAATATTTGTAGTCCAGAGTTATTTTTGAAAAAATACAGCAGAAATGAAATAATAGGCAGCTCTGGAGAAAGGCAGTGTGTGGATGAGGGATGGAGTGAAAGAAGGATACGTTCATGGTATTCCCTTTTGTACCTTGCGAGTTTTATATCAAGTTCATGTACTATCTATTCATAAAACATTTTTAATGTTTATGGGGACCTTTGTTAATGTTGCTGATTTTTTATCATGTGTTTTTCTCAATCAAAGGCTACTTAAAGTAGAACTACTATTATATTGGATCCTATATATAGAAAGAGTATTCTATATAATGGGATCTACTATTACATGGGGTAAAATTCTTTTTATCTTAAAATGATATTTTTATGCTAAAAAGCATTGGGACTTATTTTGCTATAATTCTATCGTGTTCAAATAAACTTAGAATGCTGAGATAAATTTTGAGATTCCAACAGATCACAAGAATTCCTGTAGCCACAGAAAGCTGGGAGTTAGGCAGCGTTTTCTAAAGGGAAGAAAGGGCCAGGCACGGTGGCTTACACCTGAAATACCAGCTCTTAGGGAGACAAAGGTGGGAAGATAGCTTGAGCCCAAGAGTTCAAGACCTGCCTGGACAATATAGTGAGATCCTGTTCTCCATAAAAATGGGAAAAAAATCAAACAGATAAAGGGAAGAAAAGTGCCTGTCCAGATTTCCTCCAGGTGTGATGTATATGAGGATAAGCTTCTGAAATTGGTCTCAGCCATTTAGGGTATTTGGTTTCCCAGAAGCACAGCTCAATTTTATACTGGCTTTTTCCTGAAGTTCCCAGTGAATTAGTACGTATGACTTAGAAAATAAGACCTAGTATTCCAAACCTGCTAACTCTGCACTGCAATTCAATAACTGATAATAAAAAAAAAAACAGTGATTGTCTATTAATGGCTTGTTGTCGGAAGCTTTGTGTTTATTATTTCTGTGTCTCATCTACTTTGAATTTTAGAAATTGAAAATTTATAGTGGTTTAATAACTTGCCCAAATGACAGACAGCGGGGACTGTAATCCAAGCTTTTTCATTGCCAAAGCACTTCCTCATGCACAGCACCGTCAGAGCTCTCTGGGTAAGAGGTAGTCTCTTAGCATCACTTTTTTTTTTTTTTTTTTTTAGACGGAGTCTCGCTTCTTCACCCAGGCTGGAGTGCAGTGGCGCAATCTCGGCTCACTACAACCTCTGCTTCCCGGGTTCAAGTAATTCTCCCGCCTCAGTCTCTCAAGTAGCTTGGACTACAAGCACTGGCCATCATGCCCAGCTAATTTTTGTATTTTTAATAGAGACAGAGGTTCCACCATGTTGGCCAGGCTGGTCTCGAACTCCTGACCTCAAGTGATCCACCCACCTTGGCCTCCCAAAGTACTGGGATTACATATTTGAGCCACCGCGCCCAGTCAGCATCACTTTCATTGTCATCTAAGAGATCTCTAATTTCCTCAGACTACTTCCACATATACACTATTTGAAATTCATAACACTGAAGAGCACGTGGGATAAGCATCATTCTACAAAAAAGACGAGGAAAATTGACACACAGAGAATTTAAGTGACTTTTCCAAGATCACAAAGCTGTGGATATCTTTTTTTGCCAAGATTTATCACAAACTCAAGCTCATACTTTTGAATAGAACCGCATGGAGAAATGGAAGCCAGACCTGTTCACTATACCATGGCTTACCACAAGGTTGTGAAAAAAAACTGGTTCATGGTAGCAGTGGGCTGTGTCACTATATAATAATCACTAAGAACAAAAACAGAAGTAGACAGAATGGTATAGACATTCTGAATTCAAGATAGAACACCCACATGAAAAGCTTGGCTTCTTTTCTCAGATCCCTCC